CACACAGGTCCCGTTAGGCTCCCTGTCTGGGGACCTCGGGATGATCGTAACCGATGGTTAGAGACACTGAGTGATATGACTGGGTGTCGTAAACAGTGGCGTTCTTGCATGTTATCAATTTTTCTGCAGCATTAGTGCACTGAACTTCTAAATTTCCCCTTGGACCCTACCTTTTACCTTTCCTGTGGCTCTTCTAATGTTCATCCAAATGAGCGGCCAAAAGACAGCAACCAAAACCGGCGCACGATAATCTATGGCTGTTTGTATAAACTAAAGTGAAGCTGATGGAGTGCAGCTAATGTCGCAAGTGCTAAACCGGTCGAGTAGATTACTTAAGTACTCGGCTCAGTGATCTAGTCCCTGCTTTCCATTGCAGATAGCTTATTCACATTTGCCGCTGAATTTTATTCGACACACTCCTGCGTCGCGCATCAGTTGATTAATCATTCACCTGTAGTGGCCACTTTGACTTCTTGCTATTTCGACAATGGTTTCACGAGATCTCGTGAGACACCTCTTGAGTTGCAGATGTTGCGGATGACACGAATTCTATCTACTCATTAATGGACGAATTTTAGGTTTCGTTATCCGGAGATAACTGTCGGGTCAGTCATGATGCCTCAACTAATTAAATTTAGACTATTCTCCAGAGTATGCATCGTTGTATTTCGGACCGCATCAAACGAAAAACCACCAACTGCTTCTATCGCATCTAATATTGTGGTATTTCCTAACAAGCGCATAAGATTAACACTACCTATTCTCTGACAATCCCATTTCACGCCCAGGAAAATTAGTTGGTCACAATGTAAGTGAAAGTTTTTGTTTGCCTCAATACTTGTCAATATTAGATGAACAGTAGGAGTGAACCCTAATTACGAGGAAGTCACTTTGTTTTTGGTTTTAATGCGGTTAACTCCTGAGGAAGGATGAGCCAGGTGGGAGCAGACGACTGTATTAATCAAGAAGATAGGAACGGCATAGCATCGGGCTGTAGTGCAGATGTCCCATAATCGCCAGCATCGTAGAGCGAGATACAGTGAAGCTGCCAAGCTAACAATGTGCGCACAGTAAATGAGAAAGTACAAGATGGTTAGGATTTTGGCCTAACTGAAAGGAAGTTCAGTTCAGTTCAGTTCGTACAACCATTAACCATGAACTTTCGTGCGCCGGTTTTGGTTGCTGTCTTTTGGTCGCCCGTTTAGATGTAAAGTAGAAGAAAGACAGGAAATTTGAAAGTAGAGCCGGACAGAAAATGGAGATGTTCAGTGGTCCAAGTTTGTAAAGAAATTGGGAAGATGCACGAACCCCACTGTTTACGACACCCAGCCATATCACTCAGTGTCTCTAACCATCGGTTACGAACATCCCGAGGTCCCCAGACAGGGAGACTAACG